AGAGAGAGAGCCCTGGTGGCGCAGTGGTTAACAGCTCATGCTGCTAACCAAAAGGTTGGCAGTTCGAATCCACCAGCCGCTCCTTGGAAACCCTATGAGGCAGTTCTATTCTGTCCTATAAGGTCGCTGTGAGTCGAAATCGACTCAGTGGCAACGGGTTTTGGGATACACACACACACATATATGGATACATGTATACATATCTATATATATTCCCTGGATGGCATAAATGGAAAGGTCGGCAGTCGGAACCCACCTTATTGAGCACAGTTCGACCCTGTAATACACGAGGTCACCGCGAGTCAGAATAGGCTAGATGACAACTAACAACAACATCATCAACACTCACTTGAAAGGTGGAGGTTCAAACCCACCCACAGGCACCACGGAAGAAAGGCCTGGTGATCTGCTCCCATAAAGATTACAGCCAAAGAAAACCGTATGGAGCACAGTTCTACTCTGTACCACATGGAGTCTCCACAAGCTGGAGTCGACGGCGACAGGTTTGGTTTTGGTTTTTAGTTTTACACACACACACACACACACACACACACACACAGAGTAACTCAGTGTAGACATTCCTAAGCCCTCTTCACACCCGGAACCGGATTCCGCCGTGAGCCTCATCATCCCCGCGCCATGCATGTTTCTGCGTGATGTGAGGCAAATTGTTTGGGAACACGTAATGGTGACAGTTACACAACAGGCTGGATGCGATTAATGTCACTGCACTGTACACTTAAAAATCATTAAAATGACAAATTTTAGGCTATATATATTTTTTACCACAGAAACATAATAAATGCTTTTCATAATGCAATTTACGACATCCAGAGGACTGATTTACCAGTTAAGAAGTTTGAGGGAAATTGAAATTCTCTGGTGTCACTCAGCAATACAGAAGAACAACAGCCAAGTTAATGAAGATATAAAATCTAACCTCCCCTGCAGAGGAACTAAATGTTGCTGTAAAATAATAACAAAAGATGGTTTTAAAACAAACATCCTGCTGAGTCAAGAAAGTCCCTCACAAAGGGACAAATCCTATATGATTCCACTTACATGAAGCATCAAAAACATTGTTGTTAGGTGCCGTCAAGTCTGTTCTGACTCATAGCGACTCCATGTACAACAGAACGAAACACTGCCCGGTCCTGCTCCATCCCCACAGTCGTTGTTAGGCTTCAGCCCATTGTTGCAGCCACTGCGTCAATCCAAAATAGGTAAATATATACAGACCTGAGGTCCCTGGGTGGTGCAAACGATTTGCGTACAAATACTGACCTAAAGGCCTGTGGTTCGAACCCACCCATCAGTGCCAAGGAAGAAAGGCCTGGCGATCTGCTTCTGTAAAGATTGTTGTTGTGTGCCATTGAATCCACTCCGACTCACAGTGACCCAATTACAGCCAAGAAAATCCTGTGAAGCAGTTTTATTCTGTAACACATAAGGTCACCATGAGACAGAAGGAACTCAAGGGCAACAGGCTGATACAGACCTGGTGGCACAGTGGTTAAGCACTTGGCTGCTAACCAGAAGGTCAGTGGTTCGAACCCATCAGCCACTCCACAGGAGAAAAGACCTGGCAATCTGTGTCTCTGTAAAGATTACAGCCTTGGAAACACTATGGGGCAGTTCTACTCTGTCATATAAGGTCAGTATGAGTCAGGCATTGGGCAAATCTGCTGCAAAAGACCTCTTTAAAGTAAGTGTTAAAAAGCAAAGATGTCCCTTTGAAAACTAAGGTGAGCCTGACCCAAGCCATGGTGTTTTCATGGATCTGAAAGCTGGACAATGAATAAGGAAGACCGAAGAAGAATTGATGCATTTGAATTACGGTGTTGGTGGACTGCCAGAAGAATGAAAAAATCTGTCTTGGAAGAATTAAACCAGAATGCTCCTTAGAAGCGAGGATGGTGACACTTCATCTCACATACTTTGGACATGTTATCAGGAGGGATCAGTCCCTGGAGAAGGACATCATGCTTGGTACAGTAGAGGGTCAGCCAATAAGAGGAAGAGCCTCAGTGGATTGACACGGTGTCTGCAACGATGGGCTCAAGCATAACAATGATTGTGAGGATGGCACAGGACCAGGCAGTGTTTCGTTTTGTGGCGCACAGGGTCGCTATGAGTCGGAACCAGCTGCACCCAACAACAACAATAAAGTCTACTGGTGGTTACCAGGCAGGTGGAGGGAGGGGAAAGGGGGGATTCGCTGCTTAGGGGATATTGAGCTTCCACGAAGGGTGATAGAAATACCTGGAAACAGATAATGCTTGAACCGCATGAAGAACGTAACTAACGTAACTAAACTGTACAGGTGAAGAATATTAGGATGGCAAACGAATTGCTACATACGTATTTATCACACACACACAAAAATCAGAAAGATTAAATCACTCCGAGTAAACACCCATTTCTGATTTTTAATCACATCCTTTCCTGTTTGTTTGCACAAAGGAGGCAAAGGCATGGGGGGCTGGGAAGGGGGCATCCGCGTCCCCGGAATCTTCCGGTGGCCTGGGGTGCTGCCCGCCGGCCGGGTGATCGATGAGCCCACCAGTCTGATGGATGTTTTCCCCACGGTGGTCCAGCTGGGAGGCGGCCAGGTGCCCCAGGACAGGTACGTGCGGGATGGGACCATGTGCTCCCTGCTTTCTGAGAGCTGACATTGCAATTTTTCACATTTATGGGGAAAAGAGTGCAGCAACATGGGAACATTTTTAAAAGTCTGATGATTTCAGATAGACCCAGTACCAGTTTCCTACTTGCCTTCGAGTCAATTCCAGCTCGTGGCGCCCCCCAGTGTGTCAGAGTAGAACTGTGCTCCACAGGGTTTTCAATGGCTGATTTTCTAGAAGTAGATTGCCAGGCCTTTCTTCCAAGCACCTTGGGGGTGGACTGGAATCTGTAACCTTTCAGCTAGCACATTAACATTAGTGCCACCCAAACAAACAAAAAAAAAAAATCAAACTTGTGGCTGTCGAGTTGATTCCGACTCATGCAACCCTATAGGAAGAGTAGGACTGCCCCACAGGGTTGCTAAGACTGTAATCTTGACGGAAGCAGACTGCCCCGTCTTTCTCCCTGGGTGAAGCTGGTGGGTTTGAACTGTCGACCTTTCAATTAGCAACAGAGTGCTTAACCACTGCTCAACCAGGGCTCCTAAATCAGTTGCTATCAAGTTGATTTCGACCCATGGCGCCCCCATGTGTGTCAGAATAGAACTGTGCTCCACAGGGTTTTCAATGGCTGATTTTTCAGAAGTAGATTGCCAGGCCTTTCTTTCCAGACACCTGTGGGTGGACTTGAACCTCCAACCTTTCCACTAGCAGCTGAGGGCGTTCAGCATTGGAACCGCCCAGGGGCCCCTCCCCAGGCCTTAGATGGTCAAGAAATTTGGAACATTTGCACCGTCATTGTACACGACAGAGGACTGAACGTGTGGCGTGCATAAAGGAGGCAGACAGGCGGAAAGAAAGAGCCCCGGCGGCACAACAGATCAGCGCTCAACTGCTAACGGAAAGGTCCGCGGTTTGAACCGACTTAGCAGCTTCATGGGAGAAAGACCTGGCAGTCTGCTCCCTTATACATTAAATGAAACCCAAACCTGTTGCCGATGAGTTGATTCTGACTCATAGGGACCCTATAGGACAGAGTAGAACCGCCCTGTAGAGTTTTCAAGGAGCAGCGGGTGGATTCAAACCGCTGACCTTGTGGTGTGCAGCAGAATGCTTAACCACTGTGTCCCCAAGGCTTTAGAAGGACACCATTCAATCCGTAACACCATCCAGGTTCACATCCCGACTTCCCACCCACTGCTGTGAGCAGGCAGAGTGGAGCGGGGCCCCTTGGCTCGGGGCCTGCCTATGCTGTGGGGACTGACCACCTGGGTGTCCTGCTCTCCCCTGTGGCTTCCCACAGAGTGACCGATGGCTGGGACCTGACACCCCTGCTGCTTGGGGCCACCATACACTCGGGCCACGAGTTCCTGATGCATTACTGCGAGGGGTTCCTGCACGCGGCCCGGTGGCACCAGAGGAGCAGTGAGTAGGGGCTGTGCCCCAAGACCCCGAGGTGGGGGGGGCCGTGGTGGCCAGAGAGCCGGGGAGACGCAGGGACATCTTCTCGTCCACTTTCATTGCTCTGCTCCTTTCCAGCTTTCGTTTTTACAGCAGCTTTCAAGTCCGTCCTTGGTTGTGCGTCTCCCCCTTCTCTGCATCATCCCCCCCGAGATCATCTGTCAGTGAACTGTGAGAAGGGACTTGTCAGTATTGTGTAAGCATCGTTTATGGAATTGTTTCTGTCTCTCGACTTCCTCCCTCCGTGATGGGAGCTGTGACTTTTATCGTAACACAGACTCATACTCACTCACACACGCATTCACACACGCTCACACACGCATTCACACACGCTCACACACTCACACGCATTCACACACGCTCACACACGCATTCACACTCACATACATACACTCACTCACTCACACTCACTGTCTGAGTCTCTGGGCGCTGCTATACCAGAGATACCACAAGGGGGTGGCTTTAACAAACAAAAAGTTATTTTCTCACGGTCTAGGAGGCTAGAAGTCTGAACTCAGGGCTCCGACTCTAGGGGAAGGCTCTCTCGCTCTCTGTCAGCTCTGGGGGAAGGTCCTTGTCTCTTTTTCATCTTCTGCTCCGAGGTTCCTTGGAGATCTCCACGTGGCATGTCTTCCCCCATTTGTACTTGCTCGCTTGCTTATTTAATCCCTTTTATACCAGAAACCCTGGTGGCGCAGTGGGTAAGAGCTATAGCTGCTAACCAAAAGGTTGGCAGTTGGAATCCACCAGCCGCTCCTTGGAAACCCTATGGGGCAGCTCTACGCTGTCCTGTAGGGTTGCTATGTGTTGACATGAGTCGGAATGGACTCAAGGGCAACAGGTTTGGTGGGTTTTATATCTCAAAAGAGATTTACTCAAGACACACTCTACACTAATCCTGTCTCATTCACATAACAAAGACAACCCATTCCCAAATGGGATTATAACCACAGGTTATAGGGGTTAGGATTTACATCACATATTTCTGGGGGACACAATTCAACCGATAACACTCACACATGCACACACACTCACACACCCATTTACACACATATTCACACTCACACTCACTTCCTCATACTCACACAGGCACACATTCACACCCACTCATACTCAACATACACATTCATACACACATTCACACCTATGTACACACACAGCCACACATGCACGCACACCCATTCACACTCACACATAGACTCAAACATATACACATTCACATACACACACAAACTCATACACACTCACAAACTCTCACAATGTCTTAGGCTGGGTTCTCTAGAGAAGCAAAACCAGTGAAGCATCTATATATATATATAGAGAGAGAGAGAGACAGAGACAGAGAGAGAGAGAGAGAGATTTACATCAAGGAAATGGCTCACACTGTTGTAGAGGCTGGAAAGTCCCAAGTCCGTGGGTCAGGTTGCAGGCTTCTCCTGATTCGGGTAGCCGCAGGGGCTGGTAAACCCAAGATCCGGTTAGGATTTACATCACATATTTCTGGGGGACACAATTCAACCAATAACACTCACACATGCACACACACTCACACACCCATTTACACACTCACACACATAGAAGCAAAATACTCCACCATATGGATGGACCACATCTTGCTCACCCATTCATGTGTTGATGGGCACTTGGGCAGTTTCTTTTATATGGCTGAGTAATACTCCATTGTATGGATGGACCACACTTTGCTTATCCATTCATCTGTTGATGGGCACTTGGGCAGTTTCTTTTATATGGCTGAGTAGTATTTCATTGTGTGGATGGACCACATTTTGCTCATCCATTCGTCTGTTGATGGGCACTTGGGCAGTTTCTTTTATACGGCTGAGTAATACTCTATTGTATGGATGGACCACATTTTGCTCATCCATTCATCTGTTGATGGGCACTTGGGTTGTTTCTTTTATATGGCTGAGTAATACTCCATTGTATGGATGGACCACATTTTGCTTATCCATTCATCTGTTGATGGGCACTTGGGTTGTTTCTTTTATATGGCTGAGTAATACTCTATTGTATGGATGGACCACATTTTGCTTATCCATTCATCTGTTGATGGGCACTTGGGTTGTTTCTTTTATATGGCTGAGTAATATTTCATTGTGTGGATGGACCACATTTTGCTTATCCATTCATCTGTTGATGGACACTTGGGTTGTTTCTTTTATACGGCTGAGTAATACTTCATTGTATGGATGGACCACATCTGGCTCATCCTTTCATCTGTTGATGGGCACTTGGGCAGTTTCTTTTATATGGCTGAGTAATACTCCATTGTATGGATGGACCACATCTGGCTCATCCATTCATCTGCTGATGGGCACTTGGGTTGTTTCACCTCTTGGCTGTTGTGATTAGTGCTGCTACTCAGCAATACCCCATATTGTCTATCTCACCCTCTACAATTGCTCTCCTTCTCCCAGCAGGCACCATCTGGAAAGTCCACTTCGTGACCCCCAAGTTCCACCCAGAGGGCGCCGGCGCCTGCTACGGCAGAGGGGTCTGCCCGTGCTCAGGGGCGGGGGTTGTCCACCATGACCCACCTGTGCTCTTCAATCTCTCCCGGGACCCTTCCGAGGCCCACCCCCTCACGCCGGCCACGGAGCCCTTGTTCCACCAGGTTGTGGAGAGGGTGGCCCAAGCCGTGGAGGAGCACCAGCGGACGCTCACCCCATCTTCCTTGCAACTGGACGCACTAAACAACATCTGGAGACCCTGGCTCCAGCCGTGCTGTGATGTCTTCCCCTTGTGCTGGTGTGATCGGGAAGACCACCAACAGTAACTATGTGCCAGCAAAACCAGGGTTCCTGTGGTGGGCCTCATTGCTGGGATTCCGTTAGGGATTGAATTGTGCACCTCTAAAAGTTGTGCAGAAATCCTAATCCCTGTACCTGTGCACCCATGACGACCCCACCTGTGTCATAGTAGAGCTGTGCTCCATAGGGCTTTCAAGGCTGTGACCTTTTGGAAGCAGATTGCCAGGCCTTTCTTCCAAGGCACCTCTAGGTGGGTTCGAACTGCCAACCTTTCAACTAGCAGTTGGGCGCTTAACCTTTTGCACCACGCATGGGGTCGCTATGAGTCAGAATCAACTCAGCGGCAACTAACTACAGCCAGGATAACAACCTGTGATGTGATCCAATTTGGGAATACGGTTTTCTTTGTTATGTTAATGAAGCCATATTGGTGTAGCGTGTATCTGAAACCCGGTCACTTTTGAGAGAGCAGATTAGACATAGAGAAGCAAACACAAATGGGAGAAAGATGCATGCTACATGGAGAAGATGGGCAAGAAACCGAGGAAAGCCAGGGCTGCACAAACTGAGACAAGGACCTTCCCCCAGAGCCAACAGAGACAGCCTTCCCCCAGCACCGGCGCCCTGGACTGGGGCTTGTAGTCTCCTGAACTGTGAGAAAATAAATTTCTGTTCTTTAAAACCACCCACTTCTGCTATTTTTGTTACGGCAGAACTAGGAACTAAGAGAGTTGCTTCACTTGAATTGCAATAAACTTTCACTGTGAGGTTAAGGCATTCATTTTACTGGGCTTAATTCTTTCACCAAATCAAAAGAGAAAGAGTCAAGAAAAAGCAATCATGTATAATCACTGCCGAATAAAATGCCTTGTATCACCCCAGCCACCCACCAGAGAAGAGCAAAGTTAAAGTCCTTGGCTGCTAACTGAAAGGTTGGAGGTTCAAGTCCACCCAGAGGCACCTTGGAAGAAAGGCCTGGTGATCTACCTCCAAAAAATCAGCCATTAAAAGCCTTAGAGAGCACAGTTCTACTCCGACACGCATAGGGTCACTCGGAGTCAGAACTGACCCAACAGGAACTAGTTGCAGAGTATTGCAGTAATAGTTGCTTTTGTGTGCTGTCAAGTTGATTCTGACTCATAGCAACCCCACGGCACAGGGTTGCCCCATAGGGTTTAATCTTTACAGGAGCAGATTGCCACGTCTTTCCCCCAAGGTGCAGCTGGTGGGTTCAAACTGCAGACCTTTCGGTTAGCAGCTGAGCACTTAACCACTGCACCACCAGGGCTCCTAAGAGTAAACAGAGGAACAGATGATGACAAGAAAAAAGAGAGAAGCAATAAACAATGCCCAAGAATTAACTTCAGACATAACAAGTCATCACAACAAATGTAAATGAACTAATTTTGCCTTAAAAGACAAAGGCTATCAAAACTGATTTCTTTAAACAGAGACCCCATGCCCATTTCTAGAGATTCTAACTCAACTGAATTTAGGGTAGGGCTTCTAACTCTGGGTGTCCAACAAGTACCTCAGGGGGCACAGAGGCTGCCCCTCCCTGAGGCCTTTGGGAAACACCGATTTCATTTGTGAAGGATACAGAAACGAATTGGAAAGGTACATGGTGCAGGGCAGAGTAACAGGGACCAGGACCCAGGATATGACCAACACAGTTCCCTGCCTGCACTGACCACTGATGTAGAGCCCCATGGGTGAGGGCCCATGCTGTTGTTAGCTGCCACAGAGTCTCATGGGAACCCCATGTGTTACACAGTAGAACTGCCCATAGGGTTTCTTTTTTTTTTGGCTAGACCCTTTATAGAATGGAGACCCCATGTGTTAGAACTGCTCCATAGGGTTTTCTTGGCTAAACTCTTTATGGAATGGAGACCCTGTGTGTTATAGAGTATAAGTCCTCCCTAGGGTTTTCTTGGCTGTAACCTTTACCCACGTGTCTGTCAGTCTGTCGTACTGTGGAGGCTTGTGTGTTGCTGTAATACTGGAAGCTATGCCACCAGTATTCAAATACCAGCAGGGTCACCCATGGTGGACAGGTTTCAGCTGAGCTTCCAGACTAAGACAGACTAGGAAGAAGGGCCTGGTGATCTGCTTCTGCAAGGAATTAGCCAGTGAAAATCTTATGAATAGCAGCAGAACATTGTCTCATAATAGTGCCTGAAGATGAGCCCCCTGAGTTGGAAGGCACTCAGAATATGACTGGGGAAGAGCCGCCTCCTCAAAGTAGAGTCGACCTTAATGACGTGGATGGACTCAAGCTTTTGAGACCTTCATTTGCTGATGTGGGAGGACACAAAATGAGAAGAAACAGCTGCAAACATCCACTAGGATGGCGCAAGACCGGGCCGTGTTTCGGTCGGTTGTACACAGGGTCACTATGAGTTGAACCAACTCGAAAGCACGTAACAGTAACCTTTACTGGAGGTGTTCCCCAGGCCTTTCTTCTGTGGTGCCACCCAGGCTCCTGAGGGTCCGTCCAGCCTAGTTAATATTTAAAACTGCACGCTGGCCCACAACAGCGGAGAAGAAACCTACCATTCTGGGTTTTAAACGATGACCCCTGTGAAATCGAAATCCCTGTCCTAGTTGCCTGTTGACCGGCAAGTCCAAGACAGTCCAGGAGATGGACAAACAGGGCTGGCCTGCCAAGGTGGCTTCCTGGATGGTAGGCAGCGGGCTCCACGTGCCAGGACCTTTGCCAGGATTGAAAGGCTCCTCCTTGGCCCCAGCCTCCCCCAGAATGCCGCTCAGAGGCGTCTGGGGACCCAGGAAAACCTGTTTCCAAGTCAGTTCCCGGAGGCGCAGAGTGCCAGGGATTAGAAGGGATTAAGGACAGAGGCGGCCCCACACCCCTGGTCTCGCAGCTCCCGTGGGCAGAGGCCCGACCCAGCCGTGGGGAGGGGAGGACCCGGGACGCGGCCCGACCCAGCAATGGCGGGGGGAGGAGGGGAAGGAAACCAGGTGCGCGGATCCAGCACGGGGGCCGACCCAGGCATAGGGGGAAGGATCCGGGACGCGACTGGACTCGGGCGGGGCGGGGGCGTCGCGGTGGGTGGGGGTCGGCGCATAGCCCCGGAAGGCGGGGCTGGCTCGGGCCGCGGGTCCAGCACCAGGAGCAGGGCTGAGGGCAGGACTGCAGGTCCCAGGAGGGCGCTGGGAGGAGGGGACAGAGGAAGAGGAGGGGAGGCAAAGGCGGGGGGTGGGGAGGAGGAGGAGAAAGAAAGGCGGGAGAAGGGAGAGGAAGGAGCGCTAAGGAGGGGAGGGCTAAGAGGAAAAGGTGGGACCGGCCCTGGACACGCCCCCCAAGCAGGGCTGAGACCCCCTCCCCACTCTCCAGGACTCTCCCCGTCCCGCCCCGGGACTCCTTCCCTCTCCCCGGATGATGGCTGTGACCCTTCCGTCCCCGCCCCGTAACCCTGTCCTATGTCCACCCCTCCCAACGCCGCTCTGACCCCCTTACTTTCCAGGACATGCCCCCGTGGCCCTACCCACAACCACCCCCACTACACAGCCCGGCCCCACCCCACAGCCCTGCCCCTCCCCCCGTATGAAGGCTGTGACACCCCCACCTTCACAATCCAGGACACGCCCCCTCTCCCCTTGGCCCTGTCCCTTCCCATCCCCAACTACGACGGCTGCGACCCCCCCACCCCCACAATCCAGGACACGCCCCCTCCCTTCCTCCGCGCAGCCGGGTCCGCGGCCGTGACCCCCCGGGTCCACGCAGCGCTGTCTGGCCGGGGCGGGATCGAGGACACAGTCAGCGCTGGGGGCCCTGCGGGGGTCCTGTGGGTCCTCGGAACGAGCTGGACCTCCAGCCTGGAGCCGGGATTGGAACCTGGGAGGATCCGGCCTGTCCTTCCTGGCCTCCGCCCTTTCTGGGGCGGGGAAACCAGGGTCCGCCCCCGGGACGCTCCAAATGCGTGTTACACACGCAGTTTCGCTGGCGTTTCGCCTGCTTGGAAACACCCCAGTCCAACGTGCACTCCACGTCCTCGCAGTGACTATTTTGCCAGAACAGCTCCGGCTAACTGGCGTGTCTGGGGGCGCCTTTAATCCCCCGTGAATTCTTATAAAATGTAAGTCCGCCCTTTTCGGGGACTCCCAGGCCCCGCCCCGCTCATGGCGCCGGCGGAGCTCTGTGCGCCGCGGGCCTGGGCGCCAGGCGCACCTCTTGGCCGTAGTGCGGACGCGAGTACAGACAGACCCCAAACTTGAACAGACCGGGACTTAAAAAACGAGTGTGCTCAGGTTACTGGGATGTGCTGCTGTATGCAAAGCCGTCGGAGACTAATGAAGGACTAGATGCAGTCACTCGGGTTAATTCAATGACCGAAGCCCTGGTGGCGCCGTAGTTGAGTGCTTAGCTGCTAACCTAAAGGTGGTCGCTTGGAACTGGCGATCTGCTTCCTAAAGATGACAGCCTTGGAAACCCTATGGGGGCAGTTCTGCTCTGTCACATGGGGCTGCTGTGAGTCGGAATCGACCTGAGGGCACACAACGACAATTTACCGGCGATACATCTGTCTTTACACCAAGCACGTTTGATGGGCCTGCTTTTCTTTCTAAATCGTACAACCGTATTTCTGCCTTTTGTTTTGTTCTGCAGGGACTTTTATCGGGTTCTGTTCGCTGTATGTTTGCTTCTGAGGACTTGTGAGCCAAAAACAGGCAAAGCCTTTAGACCCAACGTTCTCCTGATCATGGCAGACGACCTTGGCATTGGGGATCTCGGCTGCTATGGAAATGACAGCCTGAGGTAGAGCTGGTGATGAGGGCGGTGCCGCTGTGCGCGTGTATAAACTCGTGTGGCCGGATGATGCATCCAAAATCTGCCTGTAGAAACTGGGAAATTTCTTAGTGCATCAAAATTCCACACACACACACAAATTATTTTTCTACAGAAAAAGAGGGCCCTAAAGCTTTCAAACAAGCATGGAACTGTGATAGGTGTTAGATGAGCTTGTTGGGGCCACCATAGCAAAGGACCACACACTGAGCTACTTAAGACCACAGAAATTTATCCTCTCTCGGTTCTGGAGGCCAGAAGGCTGAAATCAAGGTGTGGGCAGGGCGGCGCTCCCTCCGGAGGCTCTAGGGGAGGGTCCTTCCCCATCTCTCCCAGCTCCCGGTGGCCCCAGGCGTTCCTGGGCTTGTGGCCACATCACCCCAATCTCTGCCTCCGTCTTCATGTGGCCGTCTCCCCTCTGTGTCTCTGTCTCCTCTTCTGTCTCTTATGAGGACACTTGTCATTGGATTTACGGCCAACCCTAATAATCCAGAAACTCTCATCTCAAAATTGCTAACTTAATCACATGTAGAAAGAGCTCCCTCCCCATTTCCAAACAAGGTCCCGTTCACAGGCTCCAGGGGTTAGGACCTGGACACATCTTTTGGGGGACACAATTCAACCCACTAGTCCCTGAGTGGTGCAAATGTTAAGCACTTGGCTACTAACCCAAAGGTCGGAGGTTTGAGTCCACCCAGAGGCACCTCGGAAGAAAGGTCTGGCGGTCTCCTTCCGAAAAATCAGCCAATGAAAACCCTGTGGAGCACAGTTGTTATCTGCCACACGTGGGGTCGCCGTGAGTCACAGTGGACTTAACAGCAACACTTCGGGTTTTGGGTTTTGGTATCCAGTTAATGGTGTACCTGGGTGATGCAAACAGTTAACATGCCCAGCTGCAAACCAAAAGGTTAGAGGTTCCGGTCCCCCCAGAGGCACCTCGGAAGAAAGACTTGGCCATCGACTTCTGAAAAATCAGCCACTGAAAACCGTATGGAGTGCAGCTGTACTCTGACTCACGTGGGGTTGCCGTGAGTCAGAATCCACTAGGCTGCAACAGATTTGGTTTTGGGTTTTTGAATACTCAGGCAGTCCCCTGCGTGACAGTGACATTGGTGTGGTTTCCCCAGGACGCCGAATATCGACCGACTTGCCGAGGAAGGAGTGAGGCTCACCCAGCACCTGGCAGCTGCACCCCTCTGCACTCCGAGTCGAGCTGCTTTCCTCACAGGGAGACACTCTTTCCGGTCAGGTGAGCGTCCTCGGAAACTAGGGGACAGTCACGTCTGCGTCTTCTCACCCGATTGTCTCTGTAACTGGGGTAAGGATGGTGCTGGTGCGGTGGAAAGTGGGACACGGTCGTCTGCCACGGAATTGTCTCCTTGTGATTGTGCAGGGTGCTTTGTGTTATAGAGCCGTGCAGAAACACGTGAGTACAGGCACGCCCCAGGTTACGGGGGTGGGGT